CGGGAGAGGAGCAGCCAGTCTTGGGGCACCTGAGAAACTGAATTTGCGTTAAAGACCTGCTGAAATAGGTGTAAGCACGGAAATAACGACGCTCGGTCCGGTTGCACACCGGATCCCGGTGGCACCGCTCCCGCCGGGGTGGCGGGACTTCCTCGTGGAAAGGGAGCTTCACTGCCGCCCTCCCTGTTGTCCCTGCTCCAGGATCGCTTTAGCTAGAAGGTGGTGGCCGGTGTTACCCCCAAAGCGTGCGGGGAGCGGAGCCAGCCTCCTGCTTCCCCCCCTGCGCTGCTTGCCAGGGGGACGGGGTGGCTGAAGGCGGCAGTTGCGTCTTCAGCTCATCCGAAGCGGTCAAAACAAACGCGGTTTATTCCTTTCCCCCTGTCGGGTTTGCTTGTGCCTCTCACATCTTCGTTTTCCAGCCCTCTGGAGGGCCCTGTGCGCCTGCCTGGGCATTGCTGGTAGGTGTGGGCTCTGCTCGGCGTCGCAGCCCCGGGACCGGCGGGCTCTGGGCAGCGTTACGGGCCTTTTCGACAACTGGCAGGTGCGGGAACAAGCGGTGTTAGCCTGCGGTTACCTCCCTCGTTCCACGCCTACAGGGTTTTGGTGGACTGAGGCAATTTATTTATATTGCTGATCAGCTTTAGGACAGTTTTTTACCTTGTTTTGGGCCAGAAGCCTTGATTTCTCTGAATAGGCTGCACTTCAGTAAACTTGGATGGGGATTTCAGTGAGGTCTGTCCACCCTGTCTCTTTGTTCTGGATTTAATGATAAAATTAACTGTAAAGTTGCTTTCTGTGTTTCTCACTAGGTGGAGGCAGGCTTGTGGTTTACATTGGTGTGTTGAGTTTTGGGTGCTGGGGTAATATGCTGTGAGTAATGCAGTTTATGTGAAAAATCACCACCGTCCAGTTATAATTAAACAGGGGAAATATTTTTATTTTCAGGCTCTGGAGATACAGCCAGAATTTTTTGTTCACATGGCAGCAGCAAACTCTACTCCACCTGGCTCTTTGGATCTAAACCAGCCTGGATTTGCAAAGGAGATCCTGGGAACTAAACTGGAGGTCAAATACCTCTGCTCCGACTGCAAGAATATACTGAGGAGGCCCTTTCAAGCGCAGTGTGGACATCGCTACTGTTCCTATTGTCTAAAGAAAATTATAAGGTAACTTTTGTGCCTTCAGCCTGAAGACAAAATGCTTGAAAAGGCATTTTCAAGCAAAAAAGGAGAGAAGAGTCTCATTTCCAGGGCCTTCTCAGCGAGGGAGTTGTATTTAATCGTTGAGGATCAGCATCAGATCTTCTTTAAGGAACATGTAGTCTCTGCCTTGCTTTTGTTGTTCTGGGGGTTGCTTCGAAGTTCCCCTTTCCAGAATTTCCCAGACTTTTTTTGCCATTCGAGTGGCAGTCCAGGTGGATCCCATCTCCTTCAGTCTTCATCACAGCTACTGAAGGAACTTGCTCCTAAAAGTCATTGTATGGTGGTTGTGCCAAAATGTGAGAAATTTAAGCACAAGCTGGCTTTCAGGAAAGTTTCCTTGTGTTCTGTGTCTTACCTTTAGTTGACAAGAGTGGTTAATCAGGAGAAGAAAAAGAAAAAGTAGAATCAGAAATGGGCATCAGAGGTACACACGAGCAAAGGCTCAATGTGGTGTTTTAAAAATAAGAAAATACTTTCGGTTTATAAAGTGACCAGAAATTGCTTTATTGTTAAATCATAAATTGGTCTCTTTTTGTCGTGTTTGATGGTTATTTTTCTGTCTGATAGTGCTGGACCTCAAAAGTGTGCCAGCTGTATTCAGGAAGGAATATACGAAGAAGGAATTTCTATTTTGGAAACAAGCTCGGTAAGTAAAAATGCATTTTAAAAAAAATAAAGCAGCTCACTGATGTCACTGACACCACCTGCAGTTTTTGTTTAAAACACAAGTTCTGAGAACCCCTTATTCCTAGGAAGTGTTTTCTTCAGTAGTGAGAGTTGTGATTGCTGTGGTGGACTCCCCAGCTTCTAAAATCCAGGTCAGGTTAACGTGGCGGTGGCCTACTCAAGCACTGCAGCAGCAATTCGTTTGCCGTTAGCACAGCTCGGGGGATGTCATGGGGCAACTGGCCTGGGAGGAGCCTTAAGAAAGCCTTAATAAAGAATTAAGAGACTGGACTAAAACTGCAACCCCTCAGTAATTTTTGTGGTTTGCTTGTTTGTTCCATTTTAGGCTTTCCCAGACAACGCAGCTCGTCGGGAGGTGGAAAGTCTGCCTGCAGTCTGCATTAACAGCGGCTGCACGTGGAAGGGGACTGTTAAAGAGTACGAGGTAAAGCTCAAAGCGAGGCATTCGATGTCGGCGTCCTTTTTCTTTCCTCTGTGTTTGGGGAAGGCTCAGGTGGTTTTCCTTGTCCCGGGCTCTGGCAGTGGTGGTGGGAATTGTCAGCTCCCCGGACTTTGCTGTAAGCTGGAGGGGTTTCCTGGCTGAGCCTGGTCTGTGTGCCCTGCTGAGGGCATGGGCTGAACTGAAACGATTTCAGATTTTCTTGCGATTGCAGACTCTAAGCCTGTCCCTTCTGTGATGGGAACCACCCGCTCTGTCTCCAGCTCCTTTCAGCTATAAAGAAACAAGCAAACTGTCAAAAAACAGTGCTGTGCCGTGAAATTGTTGTGACGTTCTCTGTGTTACGTGAACCTAAAACCTACTTCAGAGCCGTGAGCTTGGGGAAAGCGGCCTGGCCGTGGTGCTGTGTCCAGCCAGCTGCCCCCTGTAGCTACCAGGGCAGTGGGACTGGGCGCTGGTCACGGGCCGCTCATCCGTTGCTCTGAGCTGTTCTGGGCCACGAGCCTGCTGGACAGGATGGATTTTCCAGCCCTGCTGTTCTTGAGGAGCCCACCAGCCCTTTAATCCAGGCTTTCCTTTTGTGGCCTTGGGCGTTGGGTCTGTGGCGTGTGTACAGCTAACGTGCCTCGTGAGAAGTGTGTTCTGGCTGAGGGCGGCCGTGGGCCCTGAGCTTCCCCGTGCTTTCCAGCAAGTCAGCTCTGCTGGGGCACTTGGCATCGCTGGGGTGCACTGGCAGTTAGCAGTGAACCGATGTTCACCTGAAGGACAGTATGGAACAACCACCACGTGGGGGGCCTGAGATAAGAGGAATAAATTTTATTTCCCTCCAACACTCGCCCTAGGTCTGTAGCCCTGTAGTTCACAGAGCTTTGGTAGTGCCCGAGACGTGTGTCAGGAAGAGGCGTAATCTGGGTCTGTCTCGACTGACGTTTGGATTCTCTTTGCGGTGCCACTGCAGAGGTGGCAGGAAGAAACAGCAGCTGTGGGCCGTGCCTGAGTGTTCTGCCCAGCTTGCTGAGCCTGTGCCAGAGAGATGCTTCTGCACCTCTGCTCCCTTGTCCTGCTCTCTTGAATCTGCCGCTTCTTTATGCTAAAAGTTCAGTCCAAAAGATGAGGGGATGCAGGGTGCTAAATGGTTCTGCTGCTGTGAAACCCTCATTCATCGATCTGTCAGTGACTCACAGCGTGGATGCGTGAATAAATGTCACGTTAAGAGCTTAGCGCTGATGCAGCACTGAGAGTTTGGGAGTTGCATTGCAGGGTACAGTGTGTTTTCCTGAGGCTCCAGGTTCAAGCTGTGCTGTTGGTGCCTGCAGATTGTCTGACCCACGCTTGAATTTCTGCTGGTGACCAGTGACTAGAAGTCTGATGCCCGCTGCAGTGTTCCATGGGAGCTGTCCTGGGATAAGTCTGTCTTCTGGCAAGGCTGGAGGTGTGCGTGATGCTCCGGGATCTGCTCAGCCACTTCAGAGCGTCTGACTAGAGAAGGCTGTGCCTCTTTTTTACTCTCCACCTAGTCTTGGGAAGGTCCTGTTAGGCCTTTTGTTAAAACAGACTAGGTAGAGGTGCGGCTCCGGAGCGCTTGGGCTGTGGGTCTGCAGCGCCGATCCTGACTGTCAGGGTTTTGTTACTTTTGAGGCAGACGGGTGCGGTGAAAGGGAGCGGGGATGTCGAGCAGCGCTAGTCGGTTCGTCCAGGCTTGAGCTGGCCTCTCCCGCCCGCCGCGGGCGGCCCTCAGGCTGGTGGGGGTGAGGTTGTTTAGGGCCCTCTTGGGGAAAAGCTGATTCTTTCCTGGGAAGCGGTGGGAGAAGGCGAGGCCTGGCTTGTGCTCACTCTCCTCCCCGCTGCCAGCCAAAGCGCTGTGGCATTCGATCAGGCCTGGCTGTCCTCGGGCGGTCGGAGTTTGGGAGGCGGAATGTGTGGTTGAGGGGAGCTGATGAGAGGAGGCGTCAAGTGACCGGGTCAGCCCAGCGTTTCTCTAGTGGACGGTTATTAAACCCTGCCTGCGGGCAGCTGCTTCGTTCGGGGCCTCGGTGGTGGCTGCCCCTGCAGCCAGCAGCGTGTGTGACGTCCTGCAGCAGCTCAGCGCTCCCACTGTGGAAAGTCCCTCGCTGCGCTATTTCCGACAGGACATGGAAAGTCCCTAAGAGCGAATTCATTGTTTGCTAATTTAAAAATCATGTGTTTGTGCTGAGAAAGACTGACTTACAAATCAAGAGATACTGTCACTTCTGGTTTGCTCATCTTACCAGGGCATGAACAGGGAAAAAAGTGTTCTGCAGCTGAAAAGCTCCAGCTCTTCAACTTCAAAAAAATTAACAAAGCTGATTTCAGTTTTACTTTCTGTTCAGATCTCAAAGGGACATACAGAACTGAAAGAGCATGGTCTGCTTGGACGTGACTTGCACTTCTGCTTAAAGCTGTGCTTAGCACATGTGTGGGTTTATAAATGCATTTTTCAGAGTTATTGTAAATATTTAGTGGATAAAGCTTTTTGTGGTGGGGCTGGAGGGTTTTTCCTTTTGATCGGTAACCTCTCTTCATGTGTAGGTTTCCTCATGAGCCTGCCTGAACATACATACAGAACAGCAGGCTGTGGGCAGGAGCCTTTAGATTCAGGTGGGAAGTCTGAGGGGGGCTGCAGAGCACTTTTTTCCCTGTTTGTGCCTGCAAAAACTACAACTAGGCTGTTGGACTGAAAGGAACCACCAAGCAAACATGGTCTGTGCTATCCAGGTGGAGGGAGTTAGTGGTTCCGCAGCGCTGGAGCGTTTCCTTTCTTGCCTCACAGTACCTCCAGTTGCCTGCATCTCTTCTGTTTTATCAACGTATCTTCAGTTCTCTCAACACTTTCATTATTTATGCTTTCCATGCCACCAACTCCCTTTCTTTGCCCCCCATCAGAACCAGGGTGGGAAGAGGGGGCTGCAGAGGGGTGTTCATGTGGTCAGCTCTGACATTTCCATGTGTAACCCAGACAGAGGTTCATCTCGGGAGATACAGAGCTATCTGAGACCTAGGGAAATGGAGTTGTCCAAGTCTTGGAAGGAGAACTAAGTTTTCAGCTTAATCCTGACAGCAGTATTGACACTAGGTTGGGAGGGGGAGTGTTTCTAGGAAAACAGATGAGCTCGGCTCATGAGGGTGGGTGATGTCACCTGTGATGATAACCTGTCCTACCCAAACCGGAGGGGATGGGTTGTAGTCGGTTGTCACCGTGGGTTTGAAGAGTTCGCTGTAACCGAAGCCTGGAAGGCCATGGAAGATGCAAAACTCAGAACTTAAGTGATGTTAGTTCAAAGCCAGGGGTGTTGCAGAGTGCATCTGCAGCCTCTTCTGGGCTGTGTGGCTTCCTGGGGCCAGTACGACAAAGGAACTGGGCAATCCCTTCTTGCCCAGTGTTCCTACTGGGAGATGCTGGAGAAGCCCTGGTACCCCTCATGTAGAGAAAACTGTCCCTCTTCAAAAATGCTGCTGGGGGCCCTGAGCCAAGGGGTCCTTCTGCTTTGGAATGCTTCAGTTTCACTCCCCTCTTCCCAGCTTCATCCCATGAATGCCTCATTAGTTTTTGGTGATGATTTTCAGCTTAGGCTGAAAACTTCAGCTGCAGGCCTTTGCACATTGCTTGGAATGGAGTTCCAGGTCTTTGAAGCTGCTTCACCTGGCTCCTGATGCCTCCAAAGTGTGCTTCTGAGTGTTTTACTGCAGTGTGGTCTGTGTGGGATACAGCATTTGAAGTGCTGTGGCAAGCACACTTGGTGATGCTGTGGCAAGCACACTTGGTGATGCTGTAGCAGGGGGACCAGCCTTCCTTTTAATATCCAGTACAGCATTTATAGTCTTTTTCTGAAGGTTTTGGCTGAACTTACAGTACGGTGTTGAAGTGCAGTTTGCAGCCAGCTCCAGCCTGATCAGCAGTTTCCCCCAGGACTATTTGCTTGTGGGAGGATCCCTGACTTGCACATGCAAGTGACCAAAAGGACCTCCTGCTTTGGAAGAAGAGATCTGACACACCTTTGCTTTCCAGAGCTGGAGCTGAGGTCCACAAACAAAACCCATCCTCCCTTACAGCCCCTCAAGTAGTTTATGTAGCGGGCTGCCCAGACGCGAGGCAGTTTCCCGTCCAAGCCTGTGGTGGGAGGTAAGCCACGAGGAGTGACGGAGAGCACGTGTGGGAGGGCGTTGGAAAGCCCCAGCTGTAGAGGGTCTACTCTTAGCTTCTAAAAACAGCTCAGCCTTCTTGTGGTGGCCCACCTCATTAACAGGTTTGGCATCTGCCCCTTGGAAAGTGAAGAGCTGTAAGTCATGAGCTTTGAAGCTGAGGGGAGTGCTGTGTGTCCCTTCTGAGCCGTGATGAGACCCCTCCGTGTGAGCACAGCTTTGGGCCTGGTGGGGCAGCCCTTCATGCCCAGGGCATGTTCCTGGGGCTCCCAGTGTCTGGCAGGAGCCAAAGCCATGATCACACCCTTGGGCACTTCCAGCTCTTCGGACAACCTAGAGAAATGGGGATTGCAATCAGGCTGCTCACCACAGGCTTGACTTGTCCAGCACATGAAAGACCCCTGCCCCGGCTGTAATGTTTGTCGCATCTCCCCTTTTCTGGGTGCCGCCGGCGTCCTCGGCCTCTGGCTGTAGCTGCCCTTCTGTTCCTGTCCTGCATCCCCAAGGGGTCGGCCTTGCCCCTGCCCACCAGCTGCAGCTCACAGAGCCCGGCTGCTGTCGGCACCGCCCTTGCTGGTGGGGAGCTTGGGCAGACCCCCGAGGGGCTTCACCCCGAGGCTGTCCCGCTTGATCAGCGCCTTAAGGTGAAGCTTTGCGTGCTGGTGAGAGCACCGCTGGGAAGGAGGGAGAGCTCTCCTGGGCTGTTGTCCTGCGACCTGGTCGGCACGGGCAGTGCTTTCAGTACGCTCAGAGCACGGCCGTCAGCACGGCGGCATCTCCCGCAGCTCGCGACAGCGGTTGCCGTCAGAAGTACCTGCTGGAGG